ACTAGGATGATATGTTCAGGCTCATGACAAACCCTCGACTCATAGGAGCCTGGAGAACTTTTCTGCCGGTAACTTTCAACCTATCAGTTTGACCTAAGGCAGGAGTCATGAAAAACCCCAAAAATATTAGCAATGTTTGTACCAAGAATGAACTCCCAATTATTTTCCATTACAAAGTTGAAGCCCAGACAAAAGAACTTATTCATTTTGAATCAGCAACTTTGAACTTGCCAGAGGCTCTGATTTATCCTTGTGAAAAAGTAATCTCTGTTCAAAGTAAGAGCTTTCAGTGATTATGCATTACAAAGCTATAACCTCAAAACATTTTTCTACCACTTACCTTTAACATGTTAGATTGATCTTGGATCAAGTCAAAACACACCCTTGGATAATGAGCAATCTTTTTATCCAGTATCAGCTTCCAGTGATTCTTCATTACAAAGTGAAAGTTTAACCTTTTTCAGCCACTGACCTTGAATTTGCTTGAATGACCTCATATCGAGATCATGACACACCCTTGGGTGAAAAGCAATCTCTGTACTGTACAAGTACGAACTTTCAGTGTTTCTCCATAACAACTTTTAGAAGGACGGAAAAAGACAGATCTAGAGGCAGACATGTTGTTTCCAATCCCCAAGAATTTCGTTTGCAGGAGCTATAAAAATTCCTATCTGGAAAAAAAAATTGTAGGAGTTATGTGAACAAAAGGGATAACTATGTAATATGTAATTTACACAATTTACCATAATTTAAACATGTAAACCATCTCCCTTGATTTGAAAAAAAAAATTGTAGGTGTTATCTGAACAAAATGGATACTCTATATGTAATATATTTTTATGAAATACGTACAAAATCTCCCATGATTGGGGTTTGATATATGTATTATTTTTTCCAACGAGTTGTGTGTATTTTTATCTCCGGGGCCAAAAATCAAGGGAGATTCTTTCTACCCCATGTTTAACCTGATTTCACATAGGAATCCACTTTATTTTATTAAGCCTCTGTCACCAAAACCCTAAATGTGAAGTCACAACTGTGGGATATAAAAAATATCCAATGAATGATATTCAGAGTAAAGGAATAAACATGGGATAGATAAATGGATATAACGAACAGTGAACAAACTCAAAAGTCCATTCAAACAATACTAATTGGGATCAGAGCAAGGAAGGACCTCTAAAACATCAGAGGTGGGATCAGGTGCCATGGACCCCTGCCTACCGGTCTCACACGTCATTTGCACCTTGCCATCAGAGCAAGGAAGGACCTCTAAAATATCAGAGGTGGGATCAGGTGCCATGGACCCCTGCCTACCGGTCTCACACGTCATTTGCACCTTGCCATCAAAGCAAGGAAGGACCTCTAAAACATCAGAGGTGGGATCAGGTGCCATGGACCCCTGCCTACCGGTCTCACACGTCATTTGCACCTTGCCATCAAAGCAAGGAAGGACCTCTAAAACATCAGAGGTGGGATCAGGTGCCATGGACCCCTGCCTACCGGTCTCACACGTCATTTGCACCTTGCCATCAGAGCAAGGAAGGACCTCTAAAACATCAGAGGTGGGATCAGGTGCCATGGACCCCTGCCTACCGGTCTCACACGTCATTTGCACCTTGCCATCAAAGCAAGGAAGGACCTCTAAAACATCAGAGGTGGGATCAGGTGCCATGGACCCCTGCCTACCGGTCTCACACGTCATTTGCACCTTGCCATGATTGAAAAATAACTGAAAAATCCGTCGTCGTATTCAGTGTTTATATTATGGACAAACAATTACAATGAAAATCGATAGTCAGCATTTGACTTAATGATTGATTGCATATGCTGACAAGGTTATTGTACTGACCATATAACTTACAAAACGATGACACTAACTTCAAGACTATTGATATTTTGTCTTTTAACAACTTACGTCTACACATTTAGAAATTGTCCATGTGCAGAGCATGTTCTTGCGTATCGGATCAACTGATACATATAAACCCCATATGCAGGTGATAGGGTATTGCTATATAAGTAAGGGAAGTTGAAGATTGAAAAGTAAAGTCATCACGTTTATCATAAAGCTTATTATATAAACATTGATGTCTTTTGCTAGTAGTATATCCAAATATGAAACAAATGTTTTAGACTCTGTGGTTTCTTTTATTTAAAGCCCATCGGGTATATACTGTGTCAACACGCATTGTCAACTAACGATACATTACCGATTTATCTAAATGATTTAACAATGACTTTTATGGTCATATGTGACGGGACTGTCTATAAAGAGGCTTAAATACACTTTATTCATAGGTGCTGTATCAAGGATGTACATATTTGAAATGAAAAATTAGTCAGTTCGTCGACACAAGAAAATAAAAATAAAGGCAGTTTAGAGTAATATTCTTCAAATTTAATGCATCGTTTCAAAGAATAAAATGGTTAACTCATCATTTAACGTCCCTCTCGGAAATATTTTCACTTATTTGGAGACGCCACCATTTGTCGATGGAAGGTTGCAAATTTAGACTTCCGTGTATATTTACATGGAGTACTCAGTTTTTAGGGTAAATAAACAGTGGGGATCTTTTTCGTGCCAGGAACTACTGCTAACGGTTTTCGTTTTTCAAGGTATCGTTTACGTAAGGATCAATTTCTTACTCCGATACCCTAGAGCAAATGCCCGAACCAAGCGCTACCCGGGAGACCTGTCTAAAGATTCATCAAATGACTTGAATAAAAAGCCAGTATTTTTTAGATTCCAAATTGTTTGTTTTTTGCCATAACATGTCGAAATAAAAAAATATGACTTTCTATTGCAAACTGTAAATGTTATAATTTGCTTTGTCATAATCTAGAATTGCTTAAATGTAATGAAAAACGTTCATCGAATTAACTGGATAGAGGTTACCATGATAGAGGTAACTTTATAGTCTCCAGTCAGTAAATTAAAACAATTTACGAAAATTCATGTCTTCAGAGAAACAGATATATCTTTGCATTTATGACAATTTTAAAATAATAGTCTTCTAAAATTTCTTTGCGTTTATGACATTTTAAAATAACAGTTTTCTAATATTTTCAAGAGCCAATCGAAATGAAAAACAGAACGAACTTTTGTAATGATGTTATATAATAAGGACCGTCCTTGAAAAATTAGGACTCCATTACCATCATCTGAAAATGAAATCATTATAATTATTGTGTCATGAGAGGAGTATTCTCAACAAAGTGAAAAAAAAAATATCTCAGTAAAACAGCACATTCTTCTTTTTTCACTTTTCAATATATATTTTCAAACAACACAAACCTCAGATCACATTATTTTTCGAAATTATGATACATCGTTATCCGATGTGAATCTTAAAAACCAAACATATAGCACTTTCGCTAACCACCTTCTTTTGATCAGTTTTTTTTTTTAAAAAAAAAAAGATGCACTCTTACAAATCAACCTTTAAAAGATTTTATCACATTAAAAATAAAACAGTAAGCCATACCTACTTTTACTCGTTTCCTTTTCAGGACTTTCCTTAACCTCTATAAAATCCAGTAAGGTCATTTGTGACAAAGTGATTTTAAGGTTGATATTTGAAAGATTTTTTTCCAGAAATAAAATCTCCATATGGAGATAACGAACAGTATTCAAGATCAAAAGTCCATAAAACAATACAAAATTGGAGAAGGATCAAATAAATTGATAAAAAATGATAATTTTTCTCACAAAAATAGTGAAAGAAAAATTTCAGGTCATACGCAAAGTAGTTCGAACTTGAATGGATTCTTCCCTGGAGTTGAAGAGTTCCACTAATTGAAGGACCTGTGTGCAATACTTTTAATGTTTATATATGAATTTTTACACCTCTTCTAAAACAATTTATGATGAAAAAAATCAAAGATCTATGTTTTTTTGTACATGTTTCTTTGAATAATGCAAAAAATTTCATAATTTGATCTTTTCAAAAACCTGGTAAAGCATGTTGATTTTTTGTCTAAGAACGTGTAATGTTATTACATGTTTAAATTTTGAATATCTTGAAAAAATATCAGTACTGTAGGTAAGGTACCTTGCGTATGTCCTAAAAATACTCAGTTGCATTTAATGTTTAGTGTAATAATAAAACATGAATAGTTACATAAGTTTTATATTGTAATGAGGTTTTATGATCTGGATTCTGACTAGAAAAATATTTAAAGTATATTTGTTTATGTCTTATATTTTACGTTGAATGAGATTTCAAGCAGAGACTATATTTTGTGCGGAATGCTGGCGTATGAAAATATCTCATTTTCTGCTTTTCAAAATTACTTCTCAAAAATGAATTTAGTCAATGAATTTTTTTTTTCAAATATAACTCAAATAATTAATTGATTGAAGGTTTTATTATAAAAAAAAAACAATCTGATTTTAAAAACAAATTATACACTTGTTAGCTTTTGAAAGGAACGAATTTAAGAACACATAGGAGCAAAATAATCAGTTAAAAAATCAGCATTTTTCTGTGAAGATAAAGGGTCGAAACTTTTTATTTTGATATCACATTACTTGTTTCTGTGACTACTTAAACATATTTTAAAAATAAGAGATTTTTTTGTGTACGAAGCATAATTAAAAAACCAGCTGACATATAAATTCAATGTAAGGAAAATAGAGGATGTAATTTATTAGCCATCTTTCTTGTTACTTTGTTCAATTCAATTTGGTACTTTCATCTGATAAACCTTTTAGGGTACATCATTTGATACAAACAATAAAATGATTAAATTTTTAAAAATACAGGTAGGAACCAGGTGACTGGTAAAAGTGTTTAATGCCTAATGTCATTGAAAAGGATGATGACCTTGATCCAACCTTGCCCATAAAATAAAACGATCGAATAAAACCTTAATTCATAACTTAGTTATATTCTCATCTTAAATGTGTAAAAATTTCTTCAAATTTTAAACACAATAAATATAACAAGAATTCTTCTTTAATCAAAAGTTCATTGTTGAGGTTGATGTCTTTTCAGGTCCACAGCCAACGAATTATTTCACAACGAATTGTCTCTCATTCACGTAAAATCAAAATCGTTAAACGGGAGAAAAAGATAGCTATGACATTGTTTATGATGGTTGGTGAGTATACTTTTATTACAAAGACAGGAACATTGTGAATATTACTATGGCTTTAATACATTGTTCAGATTATCATTATCATAATCTAACAATTACGTTATATTCTCTTTAGCTTCATTTGTGCTTGCCTGGCTACCATATTCTATTTATGGTCTGATATGCATACTTGGATATAGCGATGACATCCCCTTAGTTTGGCATACCGTTCCATCAGCATTTGCAAAAGCATCCATTCTCTGGAACCCAGTGATATATTCCTCACGTAGTAACGCCATGAAGAGAGCTTTGGGAGAAACCTACCCTTTTCTCCGCTGGATGATTCCCAAGAATAAAAGCCAACAAAAGCTGCCTGGTCAGACAACACTGGTACAGATGAACACGTCTAATGGATCGGATGCAATCTTTGTTCAATCATTATGTGACAACAGGGTCACGTCTACGTCTCTTTAATTAGACCGAGATTTCCACTCATTAAATATTGAAAGGTTACCTTTTACTCGAACAGCTATCCTCTCTATTTTCCCTTTATTCCCTTTAAATAAGATGGTCTTCATTAATAACACAGAAACAGAATATGCGAGTCTTCATTGAAATTTATTAATATTATGTGAGATGAAGAAAGCATTTAGACTTTATACTAGCATATTCTCACTTGTGCTTTGTTGTTAAACATTATATTTTAAAACTATATATTTAAATGCATGCATTTTTACAGTGTTATCTTGAACTGTCGCGTCGTCGTGTTTTTTTTATATTGTATTACATTCAAGTACTTACTCCGCATATTGCCTGAAATGTTGAGAAATTTTATTATTAATGAATATCGTATTGTATACAGGGTTATTTTTGGCCGAATTATTTTCCCCTTTCATACTTCCATTTTTACTGAATTTTTTTTTTGGTAATCCACCGAGACACAATTTTGTTGAATGTCATGGACACCTGTCGATGTTAATATTTGTTAATCTACTTACGCCATTCCTAAAGTACAAGAAACAAGAATGTTTCTTTTAGAAATCTCCTTAAACCCAACTACCACACTCTTCTATGGACAAGCGCTAAATTCATTTGAAATTTTAGCTCACCTGAGCCGACGGCTCAAGTGAGCTTTTCTGATCAAACTTTGTCCATTGTCTGTCGTCGTAAACTTTTCACATATTTACCTTCTCAAGAATAACTGGGTCAATTTTAACTAAACTTTCCACAAAGTATCCGTTGGTGAAGGGGATTCAAGTTTGGTGAAATGAAGGTCCACACCCTCATTCAAGGGGAGTTAATATGGAATTAGTAAAAAAAAAATAATTACATCTTTGAAAAAATCTTCTCCTCAGGAAACACTGGGTCGAAAACATGAAAGTTATGCGGAAGCATCCTCGGGAAGGGTAGAATCAAGTTTGTTCAAATCATAACCCCTGGTGGGTAGGGGGAGATTTACTCAGGAATCAACATTTAGATATATCGACGACGGATTGTCAATTTACAACAGTAATTTGCATTCCTATGTCAATACGATATATCCTGGTGAGCTTGGGATAATAGATACCACAGAGTCTGACGCATCTGTTTCATACTTGGATATTTTACTTGAAAAAGACTTTAATGGTAATCTAACAACCAAGCTCTATGATAAAAGTGATGATTTTTAACTTTTCTATCGTCAGCTTCCCTTAAATATGCAGCAATATACCTTCATCATCTGCATACGGAGTTTATATATCTCTTTTGATTTGATATGCAAGAGCATGCTCTACGTATGAACAATTTCTAAAACGAGGTAAATTTTTGACAAATAAGTTGTTGAAACAAGAATATCAGTCTCGTTTAAAGTCATCATTACGTAAATTCTATGGTCAATACAATTACCTTGTCAGCAAATACAATTTATCAATGAGTCAAATTCTGACTGACGTTTTTCATACTAATAGTTTGTCCATTATTTTGACACTGAATTGGCGACGGATTTTCCCGTTATTTCCCGATCATGACAAGGAGCACATGGCGGGTGTGACCGGTCAGCAGGGGATACTCACTCTTCCATGGCACCTGATCCCACCTCTGTTGTTTTAGAGGTCCGTGTTTGATTTGCTCATATTTTGTATTGTTTTATGGACTTTGATATTGAATATTGTTCGTTTTCTCCATATCCTTCATAGGAAAAAAGAGACAGGATAAGTGATGTTGATATGGATGCGTCCCTTAGATAGAGCCAAGTGCACAATCAAAATTATTCAAATATGGGCCAATGGGGGTATGGCTAGGCCACAATGGAGGATCAAATTTACAAAGAAATAAATAGGGAAAAAATCCTCTGCTCCAGAACAAGAAAGCAATTTTTTATATTGATATGGAAGCATTAATCATAAAATTTCAAGCACCCCTACTTTCCCCATGTAAAATCTGCAATACTGAACTGATTTTTGTTTTTATCCCTCGCCAATGTGCTGAGGTGAGCGTTGTGGTCAATGGGCCTCTTTTTACAAATTCAAATATAAAGTAGAAATGTATACCTCGAAAAAGTTCTCGCACAATTTTCAAGAGGTATAAAAACATAAAAAACTAAATTTTCTATTTTGATGCGTTAGCAACTTTGTGAAACATTCAGGTATACACAACGTTCGGTTTGTTTACTGCCGCATGACAAGAATGTTACCGTTGTTATGACGTTACTTTTCGGCACTCATTTTCAGTTCTTCTGCGTATATCTCCTTAATCTCCCACTTGCTTCATTTTTACTCAAGTTTTTTGCCATTTTTATATTTTTTCCCTTTTATTTAATTAAACATCATACAATACATTCAATACAAGGATCAATAAATTTTTCTATCTTGTAAATTTGGCATTGTAAGCTTTTTTTCTACAACAACATAGTTTGAAATATAGAAAAACAAACTCCTGACTGTAAAAATCTGATACATAATAAACAGAGACAAACATCTGTAAAAAAAAAAAATGTTCATAATCAGCAGTAACGTACAATGAAGCGCATTGAAGTGGTAAAATTTTCTGTTCGGATGAAAAGTTTTGAGCTATCTTTAGACACGCCCATTTCTTTAGAAAGGAAAACTCGGTCAAATAATTCAATCGAATACCTGTAGAACAGGTATTTCATAAATATAACATCCAATGAAATTACGGTTTATATAAACACCGATAAATGAAACAAGCAATGATAAAATCAGACAAAAACAAAAATAAATCAAAGCATTTAACAGCCTGACATTTCATAACCGTATGTTTCTGTTGTAAATAATAAAAATATTTTTATATATTAATTATACAAACAGAAACAAAAATAAATCAAAGCATTTAACAGCCTGACATTTCCCGTATGTTTCTGTTGATATTTTTATATATTAATTATACAAACCATCTTAGTTTGAGTTGTAGTTAAAAAACTATTTGAAATTTGTCCAATAAGAATTCATATTTGTTTCGTAAATGTTTTGTATCATTAGATGTAATTGTTACCAATTAATCCCTTTGTATGAATTATGCTATAAAATATGTTCAAAACAAACATTAGATTCCAATTCAAGTTCAAGGCAAATGTGCGTCATAACGTCAGTTTGAATTCTTGACATGAGGCGATAGAAAAGAATCAGCGTTGAGTTTATTTTATTAGACCGGTGTATCATAGAATGTTGAATATAATTATAGGAAATATTAGGACAGAATTTAGAGGAATACGTACATAAAATTATGATAATTATATATTGAACATTTTATTATACCTCTCGCTTGAACAGCCGGAGGGTATATAACGATCGGAATGTCCGTACGTCCGTCCGTCTGTCTATTACGCTTTGGGGTACCCATCTTTTATCCGTAATTCCTCTTTTACCACTGAATGAAATTTATTGAGACTTTCACAGGATCGTATTTATATAATGCCATATGTGCACCTTCTACCTTATAATTACAATTTGATCGAATACATATTTTGGGTTTCCCAGAACAAAACATGAGCACGGTCATTTTATCTATAATATTAAACGATATCCATCTCTCATTCGCAACTCTTCCTATACCACTGAAGAAAAATTAATGATACTTTCAAGATCCCTTTCATAATTATATGGCGCACCTCCTATTTTACTTTTTGATCTGACACTTATTTCGGGTGTCCCAGTTCAAATCATGGACTTTGTCATTATAACCATTTAGTGAGCTTATTGCTCACAGTTCCTCTAGTTTTAGTTGTTATCTCTTAGATCACTGCTCGTACAAACTTGTAGAATTTCGAAGATTTTCAAACATAAGGAATTCTATATTGTCAATTCAGGAGTTTTAACAAGGTGACATGCTCAAAAAGCTTAACTCCAGTTCGAAGTGCCAATATAATCGATAATGTTTACATGTAATTTGTTATTTCAACGAAATGCCAATAAATCCTTTGTACGTTTTTTTCTTAATCTTATTGAACAAAAACATGTCATTTTTTATTAATTAGTTGTTGACTTGAATGTCATTAAAAATGCTACAAAAAGTCCATGAATTATACTTATTTAATATTGTCCGTAGTCATCAAGAATGAAATATGGAGATAGTATAAAACAGTATTCAAGAATAAAAATTCATTAAACAATACAAAATTGGAGCAGAGCAAAGACGGACCTACAAAACATCAAAGGTGAGATCAGGTATCACGGAGGAGTTAGCATACCCTGCGGAGGAGTTAGCATACCCTGCTGACCGATCACACCCTCCGTGTGCTCCTTGTTATGATAGGGAAATAACGGAAAAATCTAACGGTGATTCAGTGTGTACATAATGGACTAACAATTAGTATGAAAAATGTCAGTCAGCATTTGACTTTATGAGAAACTGTATTTGCTGACAAGGTCATTGTATCGACCATAGATCTTACGAAATGATGACTTTAAACGAGACCTGCTGCTATTCTTTTTTCAGCAACTCGTTTGTCAATAACTTACAAATGTACCTTGATTAGAAAAAAAAATTATACGCATGAAAAATTATACATGTACAATGAAAAGGGAAAAAATTGAATATTGCAAAAGATCCGCAACATTAAATGTGGAATATAGATATATAGATATATTTATTTTTTCAAACCAACCATCGTTACAAAATAGCCAAATAAGACCGCTGAATATTAACTGGCAAAATTGGAAATATGCAGCTTATGTCATTTCCGTTTGTTACAGCCTAAACATTAAATGACAGAACAATGAAATGGGCGGACACATTTCGACACGGATGTCCGAGAAAAAAATTGGATTGATTGATTGTATATTGTTTAACGTCCCTCTCGAGAATTTTTCACTCACACGGAGACGCCAACACTTGCCTGTGGTGAGCTACAACTTTTGTTCTTTACTCGGCACTCAGGGCCATTGAGCAGGGAAGGATCTTTTTTTCTCGCCAGCACCTACTGTGGCAAGGTTTGTACGGTCTCATCCGAAGGACCAGTCTCCAAGTCCCACAGTGGGATTCGAACCTGCGACGAAAGGATCAACTCCTTACTTCGCGACTCTAGAGCAGAAGCTCTAACCACTGCG